CAGCCGATTATAACTAAGTATATAAATTCTTGCTTTTAGAGAAACCGTGCCATTGGGGTAAACTGGGACAAGTGTGAGTAGAAGTAGGACAAATAAATTTAAAATAACATTTTAACACAAATTATTAAATAGAAACTGATAATATCATAAAATCACCTAATTGACATAAAATTGTTCAAGAACTTTCATCAATTAAAATAATCAAATGGCGACAAGAAGAAGCGGGCATAAATATTTCTTTTTTCTGTCCCAGTTCACCCCAATGTAAACACTTTTTTAAGGTACATTTCAAAATTTCGCACGCGAGGAAAGACAGCAATTTCTGATAAACAGAGGGGATTAAATTTAACTTTTTACATAAAATAACAGTATTTAGGCACCACTCCTAATTAGAAATTTCAGGCTGACCTACTTCTCCCCACTCTACTCTATTATATAAAAACTATCCAGTCTTTGAAGTTGCAAAATCTTTTATTGAAATTTTTTTCATAAGCTTAAGCAGAGAGAACTTGGTCGATTTTTCGATTTATTCATTGACGATTGGGAAATCTCTTGAAAAACAAACGCATAGTTATGCGCATAACTTTTGAATGGTATGCGCATATTTTCGCCGGTATGCGCAATAGTTCTGAACTCAACTCTAAACTATTCATAAAACTGAAAAAAATTTCCACAACAAGATGGACAGTTTGCGCAAAATTAACTGAGAGAGTCATTGATAATTATCAATCGCTGTCATAACTTTTATCGAAAAATAAACTTTTGAACTTTTGAAAGAATTCAATCGGTGTCAAATAGAAAACGTTCTTCATCTCCTACTAACTATTTATAAAAGTTCTATGTCATTTGATTTTGGAGATATATGCAAGACACTTCAGAATATGGATAAAAATCGCCTAATGACCCAGAATATTTGGATCATTATAAATATTGTTTTAATTGGTGGAGCCACATTGGTCATACCAGAGCGCTCTTTTTCAATGGAGGAGGATCAAAACGAAGCTTAGATCAATAAATGGGTCAAAAAGATATAACTCGTTGTGAATTTCGTAAGAATAAACACGTAGGTGTTGTCTAAAGTCTACCTTTGATAAAAAGATAAGGTATTTTATAATTAGTGGGTAAAATTTTATGTCTTTTTTAGGCAGTTGTTACTCGGTGTAGTTAAAGCGATTATATTTATAAATTATTGGAATTCTTTTATTTGAAAATGGCATGATTTTATAAGCGTATTATGTCCAAACAAAAGCTTTAGATGTAATAATTTTTTTTGTTTCAGGTTTTTTTAATATTTGAAGAAACTGCTCTCTTTTTTATACAATATTCAAAACTTTTTTACTACCCCTAATACTTCAGTCGTTTTTCAAAACGCCTTAAGGTAAAAAAAATCAATTTTGGCTTTTTTATAAAATAATCCAGTTTAGATGTCTCCAAACGTTATTGAATACATATTTTCGAAAAGTTTTAAAGAAATTCATAAAAATTATTAGTTTCAAAAAATATTTTACAAAGAGTTTCTCCTAATGATTTTTTTTAATTGCGTTTTTCTCGAAATGCGTAATAAGCATATTAAGGCGTTTTGAAAAACGGCTGCAGAATAGTGCATCAGAAGAACACCATTTTGGAGTCTTTAGATCACTTTCGCTTATTGGCGTTAACATGACTTTAGTAAAAAATTTTTAAAAAAGTGCTTTAAATACTACAGATCCTAGTTCTAATCGGTTCTAACATATATTAACTATATATAATTGTCAAAATACAAAATTTCTATCAATTTTCATAAAAAATACTAGAATTCCGACGAAGAAGAGCTTATAATTAAGAAAAAGCGCCAATGATACTCATTTTTCCTAAAAAACATACTTTTAAAAGAAAAACATAAATTTGGACAAACGATTTGGATTTTAAGAAGATTTAAAAAAAATCTTCGGTGTAGTTTTTTTCGCTACAAACATTTATATTTTATAATACCACAAAAGTGGGCGATTTGTTTGTGTGTGTGTGTGTGTGTGTGTGTGTGTGTGTGTGTGTGTGTGTGTGTGTGTGTGTGTGTTTTAGAAGTATCATACCAAGCAAAATAATTTATTACTGTTTTACTGAACCGAAAGTTTTTTTTTTTTTGGTTTAAAAAAAAGGTCTTAAAAACAAAAATTCACCCAACTGAATTGTGTCAAGTACACAACTAGCCGACTAAATTTGTCAAAAAACCGACTTTAACTTGAAAATCACCTTCTTTGTGGAACACCTTCTAAGGAGTGGAACACCCTCCCCCAAAAATCGCCTTTGTATGCCATCTTTACACATAAAAAATCTTTGTTTCTTCAAAATAGCCTACAAAATAGTAAAACTTGTATAGTAAATAAATACAAAAAAACAATACAATACAAGAAAAAAAATTACAATAAAAACTAAATAGTAAAACTTGTAAATAGTAAAAATTTTAACATTTGTATTTTGTGAATATTTTACATCATATTTGAGAGAAGTAAAAGCTAGAAATATGTTATACACAAGCTTAAAAAACAAGCTGACTCAAAAAACATCTACTTTATGTTGTTTCACAAAAGTAATGTAAGTAAAAGTAACATATAACAACTTCAGCGTTTTATTACTAAAAGTAGCTAAGCGGTTTACTGCTGCCTTGGATTTGCGCTGAAGTTAAATTCCTACATTAAATTTTTATTTACATTATCTACATTAAATTTTTCTAAATCTACTATTTCTAAATACTAAATCTACATTAAATTTTTATCTAATTTTTGCAGTTGTATTGGTTTAAGTTTATAAGAATTTATAAGAAACCAAACTAAAAATTTATTTAAATAAAACTTTTGAAAATTTAAAAAAAATTTAATAAAGCCTTATGCAGAGACGTATTTACGGGGGTGGGGTTAGGGATTGGGAATTTCGCTCCAGGCGCCAAGTTTTGATAGGGTGCCAGCCGCCAGTATAGTAAAATCTTTGAAAGTCGTTAGATAGTTATTTTATATCATTATCAAAAAAATTTTTATATTGTTATTATGTCCAAACCATATGTTTTATTATTTCGTCATAAATTATGTCTAAATCATATATTGACTCCTAGACCTACTAAATATCAAATTATTTGCTTTTCTGCCAACAAGTATACGGGCGAATATTTTTTTAAAACGAGAATTTTCGGAAATTCATCTTTAGAAAAAGTATATATGTGTATGGTTGGTAGAAGAAAGTATCTTTTAAAATGCGATCAAATTCCACTTGCAAATTATACATATCTATGCGCAAATTATTTATGCAAAGACGTTGATTTGGTAAAAAAAAGTCACGTTGTTCAGTTTGATCCTTTTTTAGAGAATACTATTTTTTTTAAAGGATCGTACCTCTAAAAACTTTTAATATATATGAGCAGTTCATAGATATAAAGGCAGATAATTTCATACAACAAATGGTTGTATGAAATTTTCTGCCATTACAATACAAAAAAAGTAAACATTTTTCTATCAGTATCTACCTCTGATATTAGCCATGTATATTAACTGTATTCATTTAAGGTATGTTCAAAAGAATGATTGCCCGGTAGAAAGATTTATAGGGTTTTTACCTAACTCTGGTTTTAAATCTGAAGAATTAGCAGATGCTAAATTTTTAGTTTTAGAATTGCATGGATTAGATATAAACAATAGTCGTGGTTATGACAATGCGTATGATATGGTATATATGGTAGGTATACAGTACTATCAGATACCAGGTAGTCAGCAAGATCTGATATAAGTATTAGTTTAAACAAAAATTGTAATGAAATAATTAATGCACTGTCTTCTATCAAAGATGATAAAATACAAGAAAGATTAAACAAAACTAGTACATAATTGCAGTCAGTTAAGAAATGATTTAGAAACAGTTGTAACTTCATGCAAATCAATAATTCGATATATATTAGATATGAGTAGTATTTTTGATATCTATAAGAGAGAAAGAGAGCATTCAATAAATCGGACACAAAACATGTTGAAAAATATGCAAAAGAAAAAAAAAAAAATTAGCTGCAGACAAAAAAAGAAAAGGATTTGAAGGATTGAAAGTTGAGACTCTTTAAGGATTAAAATATATTATGTTGTTATTGATAAACATCATTCTGAACTAGAAAGAAAAAAATTGAACTATGATGAAGCCAATAAAAAATTTAACTTTTTGTTTCAAATAGTAAAACTAATCCAGGGCCGCATCCCTGGATTAGTTTTACTAAGACAATCCCTACGCCCCCCTCGGGACAACCGGCCGTCCCGAGGGGGGCGTAGGGATTGTCTAGCCCTTAAAATTAAATTGAACACTAGATTCGGCGAAATTGGATTTATAGTTGGCAGTCGGCAAATGTCAGAAAACAAGGACCTTTTTTTTTTAGGTAAGTTAGTGGACAAAAAAATTTTTTTTTTGGCTTTTGTCGGCAAAAAAAGACACTGCACCCCCCTTCCTTTAAAATCTCTTCGGAACGCCCCTTAACTAACCACCATCAAAAGCAGAAATACTTCAAAAAATATATATAAAAATAATCTTTCGACTTAATTTGCTAACGAGTGTATACTATTCAGAAGTTATTTAATGAATTTAACTGAAAAGATAAGACCTTAAACTATAAAAGATATTTGTAAAATGATCAGAACTGATAAACTTCAAGAACTATATAACTATTCCTAATGCTAGAATGGCTGGTGATTATCTTAATAGGTTAGCAATTTTATATATTGAATCTGCACTTATCATAGTCTATGACATAGATATGAACTAAAGTTCATATCTATGACATAGGTATGAACTTTATGACGTCATAAATACATTTTTATAACAAAACTTACGTAGAAAATTATATATATATTTTTAATGTCAAGTCCAACTTAATTTATATGTTTGTATTGAAAATGTTTTTTTTTAAATAATCACCCCGTATCAGAGTATACAGTTATTTGCACTTAAAGGATTAGTGCCCCCGGGCGCCAAAAATATAAATACGTCTCTGGCCTTATCTTGAGAAAATTGTCAGAAGCGAAATGAGAATTTTTGTGCCGAGTTACTCAAAGTAACGTTCATTCGATAACTCAAAATGGCGGCTGTGTTTACCAAAGTTTACAGTAAAAACATTTATAGAGCGTTTAGTTTTTCCAAACGATTTTTTTATAATGTAAGTCTCTTTGTAATTTCTTGAATTTCAGATTGATTGTTACAATAAATGAAATTTTAAATAAAATTTGTGTACCCACTTGTGTGTCACTGCTAAAAACGAAATGCTTAAAAAACAAGATTGGTTTGAAATAATGCAACAAAAGTCAAACGCTGATATAGCTTCTTTTTAGTCATTCTTTTTTACTTTTACTCAAAAATTTGATTGATTTAAAATCTTTTATAGGTGTTTGAAAGCAGATTGGTCTCGGAAACAACAACGGTAAATTTAATTTGACAGGTTTCAACAGAGGAAGTTACCTTTTAAAAATAGATTTGAGGTAATTGTATACCAAAAAAAATTGAAATTTTTGGAGGTTAATAAGTAAATGCTTCTACACTCTGCAAATAATTGTTTAAAAAAAATTTTTAAAGCTAAGTTAAAATTAAAATTCTTTTTAAGAACTGTCTTTCAAAATTTACAAGCCTGAAATGTCAACCAAGTTATTTCCGAAGAATGCACACATCTCTCAGTAGGTTGAAGTTTTTTACTCTATTTAAACACAAAGTAATAATAACACAAAATCTCAGTAGGATCTATAATACTCTATAATAACACAAAACATTAAAAATTTTGTTTGATAAACCATTTTTAAATTTGTTTTGTTTTAATAACATGTAATTGCGTATGGTGTCAAAGATTTTCAATTCATACAATAGTAACATCACCTATTTTCAACAGCAAATTTAGCACATTACTACTTTATTAAATTTAATTTTTTTAAAATACTGACTTAAATCTAGATTTTTTAGATAAAGCAAAAAAAATTTTAAAAAGTTACAATAAAAAGTCATTTTTTTGGCCTTAAAAAATGTTCTTACTACATAAATATTGTATGCCTAAATCTAAACCCTCAGTTGATGTATGTACTGAAACTCCTACAGATTACACAATTCAGTATAACACAGTTTCATGGGCATTTAAATCATGGGCTGCATACCATTATTGAGACCATGTTGACCTTTATTTAAAAAAACCTTAAGATATAATAAACAAAACCCTTAGTATTTATAAAAAAGTTTGAAGAAAAATAAAATCTAAAAAAAAAAAAAAATAAACAATCTTTGTGTTTTATTTTTTTTAATTCAAGCATTCTGAACTGTTCTTTAAAATTATTAAAACAAATATAACATTTAACCAATATTTTAAAATTCTATTTAATATATTTTACACCATTATTTTATAAAAACACTTTACTATTTTACTTTTAATTTAAAATAAAAAGATTTCATCTATTCACTGTTTAAGTGTTTTATTGTTTTAGGGTCTATGAATATAGTTTGAATAAGAGATTGACTTATTGATTAAGTGTTTAATGGTTTATTGATAGATTAGGCTGTTTTAGCTTTTAAAGTTTTATTTAATTTATTTGCCAGAATGCCACAGTGAAATCGTTCAATTCAAATTAGCTGATATAGGTGAAGGAATAGCTGAAGTGCAAATCACTGAGTGGTAAGCTATTTCATAAATTAAAAAAGATGACTTTATGTTATTTTGATTGGTTTTTCAGTCTATTAACTAAGTTGTAGATTTTATGACTGATATTAACTGACTTTTTGTATTTTACTATAACTAAATGTTAAAAATAAAACTTTGAAATTGTAGATTTAAATTACAGATAAGAAATTCTAAATAGTTTTCTACTATGTAATTTTATATTTTTATGTAAATTAGTTAAGTTCAGCAGTGCACAGTGGTCCAGGTAATAAATAAGAAGACAAACTTTGTTTTATGTTAAAAACATCTTAACATTAACTATAAAACATAAAACTATGTGAAGACTAAAAAATTAAATTTTTAGAGATTTATTTTTAAAATTGGTCTTTAGAAGTTCAAAAAAACCCTTTTTCACACAAAAGTTGGTTGACCAACATTTATAAATCCTAACTCATACGAATTTCATAGATATACCAAATTTTGATAATATTCTTACAAAATATATAGTATCAACAAAAAATCATTTGAATGTAAAATAATTAAAAAAGCCAATTTACCGCCTTTAAGATTTTTTGAAAAAAATTTTAAAAATTAAATTTTTATCAATCAGAAAAATTTTTGCCCACCTTGAAATTTTTTGCTTGTCGTCTTACTTGCAATACTTTGATTTTTTTTTTCTTGTTTGAACTGTGAAAATGAACTGCAGAATATTCTAGAATAAAAGCAGATAAAATGTTTTTAATTTTTGTTCATGTATGATAAAAGTAAAAAATAATCAATAATAATTATTATAACCAAGTTTTAATATTAGGAACAAAGACATTTGTGATTATATGTTTTAAACAAAAATTTAGAATAATCATACAAGTTTAATTCAGGGATGCAGAGTCCTGAAAGGACTCAGATTTTAAATTTCTTTTTTTTTTCCTAGTCTCTGATGTCTAGGAGCTCTATAAGTATTGAGTGGATTTATGATTTGCAATAAGAAAACAATTAATGAGATTTGGTGACTAGATATTTTTGGTTCAAATCAAAATTGTTCCTCTAACCTAAAAGTTTAAATTTTTACCCAAAAATAGTCCTTTTTAAATATTTCTAACATTTTTAGAGCTCTCCTTGATATACCCCAAACCAGAAAGAAATAATAATTTTGTGACTTTTAAATTTGGAGTCATTTTTAGTACTCTTTAATCCTGGTTTAATTAGTGAGGTAATTAAACTGAAGTGTGTATATTGATTTCATTGAAAAATTTAATATAGTAATTGAAAAGTTCATGAAAAACTTTAAAAGGAAAATAAATAAAATAGGTAGACAAAGAGGAAAGTTTATTAAATATTTTTAATTTAAATTTTTATTTAAATAGTTCTAAGAAATATTATGAGAAATGGTTAAATTATAATTATAATAAAATTATAATTACAGTTTTTATATAATTCAGTTTTTATATAATTCATACAATTACAGTTTATATATAATTCATAATACAACCTTTGTCAACCTCGTTTCTATTTTTTATGGTAATCTCTTTGTGTCAAATTTTATATTGATAATATATAATTGTTATAATAATTATATAATAAAATTATAAAATTAAATTAATTATATTAAATATGTAATTTATTATAAATGAACCTCAACAGCAAGATAGGATAAAAAATTTATAAAGAAGTGCACCATCAAAATCATTTGGAGATCTCTAAATTTAGTCTAGGAAATCGTCAGAGATTACTGAAAAATTAGGAGTTACCATTTTAAATTGAATTTTTAATCCTAGTTTTGAATAAGATTAAGCATAACTTACATTCTTTTTGCTAATTGTTAATTCTTAATCTTTTTAAAATTAAAATTAAACAATTAAAAGACAATTATTCTTATTTTAAAAGATTTTAAAAAGATTTGATGTAATGATATCCATTAATAGATGTTGCAATATATCATGCTCTAAATTCTACCTATCAGAAGCTCTAAATTTAATTTTAGAATATAGAATGAGGGATCCTTAGATCAAGGTTGCATGTTTTACCCTGCCAGTGTTTATATTGTGAAAGCTAAAAATGCCTTCCAGATTCTAGAGTTTTTACATCAAACTACTGTAATTAAGAACAACACTGCAAACAGGATTCAGAAAATTATTTTATAGATAAATCAAAACATCATTAGCCTTGCAATACTCTACACTAAGTTTTATATGTTCTTTGAATTTAGTAAATTACTAAACTACTTTAAAAAATTGTTATGTAATAAATGTTAAATTTTATAAATTGTGTTCTTGGTATAGTTCTTTACATGTTTATCCTAATTACCAGGATGTCATAAATATACATTCTTTATATCATGTCCTTATCAAGATCATTAGCAGTTTAAGTTCTTGGTGTTTTGCACATAGATAGTGTTTATCCAAGCAAACAAGTAGTCAAACAACTATTTTATTCTGGTGACCATTTATAATCATTAGCAGGTTAAAGTTAAGTATTAAGTATGTGTTATTTGTCTCATTTCCATGTCATTGGTGTATCTATCAGAGGTATGGTGAGGTGAATTACAATAATTGTTGTAGTGTAGGCCTATGTATAATGAATGTTCATTAAAAATTTTGAAGCTTTAAAAATGAAAAAAGTTTTATTTTCGCTTTAACGAAGTGGACCACAGGTTGTGAAACTTTTAAATAACCACAGATATCCAGCATGTGAAACTTCACACTGTACAGTGTGAAGTTTTCGCATTCTGAATATTTTAAATAACTACTATTTAAAAACATATAAAGTATTCAAAGACACATGTAAATGACATTTTACCATGATTTTACATAGATGTTAGCAAGGCAAAATATAGCCAGGCCATAGCCAAGGCCACATGTTTTAAGCCATGTCGAAAAAATTTCAAAGCAATGGACAAGAATTTCAAGACCAAATAAGAATTTATGCCTTAAATCAAGGTTAATTATTAACAAATTTGCATGCATCAACTGCTGCAACAATATGACCACATGTTGCAAAATTAAACCAAGATTATGCGCTGGAATTGGCAAAGTAAATAAGAATATGTATTTAAAAATAGATGTATGGAACAAATAAGTTATTTGCTCAATGTACAAAAAACGGCAAATGAAATAATGAAACAATGTTTATAAAACTTGCAAAAAATAGAAAAAGTTGGAAGACTAAGAGTTCAATAGAAAAAGTTGGAAGACTAAGGCCATTAATTTTAGGCTTAAACTTAAAGCCAAACCTTTCAAAGCCATGGCCAAGACAAAGTCCAAGGCCTTAATTTTATGACTAAAGCCAAGGCCAAGGACTAATAACTCTACATGTTACAATGAAAATTAAAATATGACATATAATAATGATATGCAAAACAAATGATATATAATAATGATATAATAGTTTGTTTTGACAATTTGACCACAATTTTTTCACATGTTTTTAAAATTTAAAAATGTTTTGAAAAAACTTACCTAGACTTAAAAAAAAAATAAAAAAAACTTAACTAAAATAAAACTCAAAAAACTAGAACACTAAGTTTATTAAAATCATGTTTTTAATTACATTTGGAATAATAAACTTTGAATCTTTTATCTTTACGTTTATATAATATCATGGGAATCTTTCATCTTAATGTTTATAAAATATAAAGGAAAACTCTTAAAATAAATGAATAATTTACTTTTAATGATTGTTTATAAAAATATTTGCACTAATTTAAATTATAGTGTTTTTTTTAATAATTTAGAAATGTAAGTTTCTATCTAAATACATGCTAGTAAATAATTACTAGAATTGTTTAATTGATGGCTTCCAATAGTGATGTGTTCCGTAAATTTATTTTCTGCTGTTTTTTTTATAATGACCACTGCATTATTTTGAGAAAATTGGTTTGTTTAAAAGTGCTAGTTTTTCTAGACGACTAAACAATCTTATTTCTCAATGATAAGAAAGCATTAATTATATGAGCATTTAAAAAAGCATTTTGCATTATAGTAATTTTATCTAAAAGAGATGCTAGCTTTTTAGAGCAGTGTCCATTATAGTATTTGTAGAAAAGAGAAAGAGAAGCGACATTATGACGATGTGATAGTGGTTGGAGGTTGGCTGTAAGAGCAGATCCAACTATGTTTATAATGCATTTTTGCACCTTGTCTCAAAGAGAAAGGGCATCATTAGAAGATCCACCCCAGATATGACAACAGTATTCCATACAAGGCCGGATTTGAGATTTATAGAGATAAAGAATATAATCCAGAGTACGGAAGTGTCAATAAAGAGATGCAACCTTAGCATATGCTAATTTTAAAACGGATTTGATTTATGGTTTCCAAGAAAGATTGGAAGTAAGAGTTAATCATAAAAGATGAAGGTCTTCTAGGATTATTTCTTACTTCATTTGAGATAGAAAGCTCAAATGCCCCCTCCAAGCAACCAGAGAGTGTAGGTTTCTTATCAAGACAAGAATAAATGGTAGTATCATCAGCGAATGTCACCTTAGATGTTAGAATATCTGAAAGATTGTTAATGTAAAGTAAAAAGAGTATAGGGCCAAGTATTGAACCTTGAGGAACACCTGAAGTTACAGGATATGAAGAAAAGTGCTGTCCATCAAAGACAACTTTTATACTACGATTGGAAAGGAAAGATTCAATAATCTTAAAAATGTTACTAAATACACCGTTAGAAGAAAGCTTATGGAGAAGACCAGCATGCCAAACTTTATCAAAAGCCTTTGAAAGAAATGTCAAGAGTGATGGCCTTAACCTCACCACCTTTATCTAATGTACGATAAAACCTATCGGGTATTACTGTTAGCAAATCAGCTGTAGAATGAGAAGATTGAAATCCATATTGATGATCAGAAAGTAAGTTTTTAGATTCAAGATAAAAGATTAAGTGTTTGTTAATTAAAGATTCAAAAACCTTGCTTGTGATAGGAAGAAGAATAATGGGATGGTAGTTAGACAACTCAGATTGCTTTCCAGAATTTTTGAAAAGAGGGATAGCAGATCCCGCTTTCCACCATGCCAGAAAACAAGACTCCGATAAGCGCTTGTTAAATAGTCTTGAAAGTATAGACAACAGCTCTGATGAGCACTTTTGCAAGACTATAACAGGTATGTTATCCGGGCCACAAGCTGTAAGAGTCTAAGCAGGAAGTCACTTTAGATACAAAAGCTGGAGTGATACAAATGTCAAGCAATGGATCAACCTGTCTGATGGTTATATCAGGTAGAGCGCAACTAGTAAAATCAAGACATCATGTTGAAGAAAAGTTCTTAGCAAACAATTCAGCTTTGTCTTTAGGTGAGGTGACAAAGTCTGAACCATACAAAAGAGATGAAATAACAGATTTATCCTTACTATTGATACTGTTAAAGATTCTCCAGAAGTCACAAGAGCCTAATTTTTGAGATGAAATACAATATTTTGTGACCAAAGAATAGCAGGCTTCTGCATTAGACAACACAGAAGGTTTTTTGGTTTCTAGCAATAATAAACAGACGTCTGTTTTCTGGAGAAATCGTTTTGCTGATAGGTATGGAAGCAACAGTTTCGATTGGAAATTGTAGCAGCACCATGAGAGGAAAACCATGGAGAAGAGTGTTTGCTTGACCTGGAATCGTCAAGAGGGAATAAAAGATTCCATGCCAACTTGAATCCATGAAGTTATGTAAGAAGCACATTTGTCAACAGGAAGACGAAAGATTTTTACCCAAGGGCCATCATAAAGTTACAGAAAGAGTCCGAGTTAGCTTAAAGGTAGTTGTAAAAGGTACAATGATAGATGATGAAGAACAATGAGATAATAGTTTTAATGAGATCAAACTGTGATCAGAAGCATCTAAGGCTGAATGTGGGAGAAACTGAGCACTGACTAGGATCAGAAACAAGGCATAGGTTGAGTAGAGAAGGTAGATTATTCGGTTGTCTGGAAAGCAAGTTTGAAAGTTGACTATTTGATTTAGGGATTGAGAAAGGCAAAAGTTGTGGGCTTTAATGCCTGACACTAAAGCCAAGCCATTCTGTGTGATGAGCATTTAAGTCGCCAACAAAAAGATATTGGCTTATTGATAAAGAGAAAGGGCTTGGTTAATTTTATTAAAAATAATATGTAAAAGAGTGCAGTCTTGAGATAAAGGAGAGTGTTATAGAACATAGAGAAAGGCAATAGAGTGATGTGGTGCTAAACTAAAGCACATAAAAGAATAGTCTGTGGATTCAAACCTAGTTTCCCGACAAATGGGTGAATTCTTACAAATGTAAATGCCCAGGCCAAGCATGTGACTATTGGAGTCTTTACGAATGAAAGGAAGGTAACCACCAACACTAAGATCACAAGATGAGACAGCTTAACTCAAATTAGTCTCATAAAGAGCAAGTAGGTCTGGTGAACTTTGCAAGAAATAAGATTCAACATAAAAAATGTTACTTTGAAGACCAGGAATATTAGTGAATGATAGGTTTAGAAAACTTGATGATGACGATGGTTTTTTGTGTTTTATAGTTTTTGTTACTTTATTCATAAATTTGTTAAAGAGCTAAAGCATAGTACTCTTAGAATTATAAAGTAATAGAATATTCGAATATTATTATAAAAAAATAATAGCCCAAGCAATTGCTTGGGCTATTATTTTTTTATATTTATTTAAAATATAATTTTATAAGTATTATTTTAATTAATACTTATCATGACCAGTTTTACAGGTCCAGATTTTCTAGTTAATAAATATTAAACTATTATTATTTTTATTCTCATTTTTATATACTTATTTATTAAGGTATGTAAAAGAAGGTGACATTGTTAAAGAGTTTGATCAAGTTTGTGAAGTAAAAAGTGACAAAGTAAGGTTTATTCTATTAGTGATTAAATAAATATTGTCTTATCGTCATCATCATCATCATCATCATCATCATCATCATCATCATCATCATCATCATCATCATCATCATTAAATTAGTCTTTAAATGTTTATAAACTTGTGTTTGGTTTTATTTGGAGGAAGGAATTTTTTAAATTTTGTTTACAGGCTTCAGTTACTATAACGAGTCGTTATAATGGTGTAATTAAAAAACTCTATTATGAAACAGACGAGGAAGCTTATGTTGGAAAGCCACTCGTTGATATTGAAGTTAACTCTGAAAGTCGTCAAACAAGTTATTTTTGTTTTTGATTTTTTTAATTCTTTGAATAAAGTTTTATTTTTATTTTATTTGTTAAACAAAGTTAAATAAATTATTCACTATCAATTAATAGCTGAGCCAATTACTATGATACCCGAACCAGTAGCAACTGCTTCTGAAACTTTTGAAACATTACCTCCCCTTCCAAAAATGCAAGTTTCGTCTGCAAATTCAAATAAATCAAATGTGCCATTGTCACCAACTGTTTATACTGGTTATGAAGGTCGAAGTATTGTACCTACGACACCAGCTGTTAGAAAGATTGCAAAAGAAAATCAGGTAAATACATTCATAAAAAATAATGTTGTTATTATGGTGAGTTTAATTTTAATTTTAATTTTATCATTTGGATGTTAAATCATAACAATATAATATAAAGTTTTTATCATTGCAAGTATTTTTATTTAAAATATATATATTTTTTTTATATAAATGCCTATTTTTTCCTAATATGTTTAATCTATTACATTATTTTATGCATAAATTGTATTCTATTGTAATTTAACATATTTTATATTTAACTGTATCCATCTATTTACCAGATGATTTTTTTTTTCTATAATTTTATAACTTTCCATAATTATAGTTAAGAGAATTTTTATAGTGTTCATTTGGTGTAAGATAAAGCATCATTAATATCTGAAAAACATCTAGTTAATGAATCAAAAACTTCCTCTCTGCTATTTTGTTTGTCAAAAAAATATTATTAAGTTTAAAAATGTTGTTACGACTATTAAATACTTTGACTGTCGACTAAATTGAATAATATTTTTACTAAAGCTGACTGAAATCCACTAATACATTTTTGAAATTGACAAAGTCGACTAAATGTCAATTAGGTAGTATGGGCAATCTGTTCCCTGACCCCAATAGTTTAGAGACCATCTTAGATACTTGCTATATATCAAAAAGTCATTACAATCATGTTTACAATGTGATTGTATAGATGACATTTAGATTTTGGAACTTTACAATTAAGATATGCTCAAGGGCTCTGAGCTAGCTTGGAGCGACCCTGTATAAAAGTGTTTATAAAAATCATAAGCATCTATTGAACAAAAAAAAAAAAAAAAACTAATGAAATACATAATTGAAAGTTTAATAAAGTATAAATTTTATTAAAGTATTATATATAAAAATTTTATTAAAGTATTATCTAACATGCTTTGAATAAAATAAAACTTTAAGAGAAAAAACAAAAAACTAGATGATAGTTATAGTAGAATAAACAAAAAACTAGAGTTGTAGTAGTTATAGTTATTAAATAAAAAAACAAAAGTTTAAGATTGAAAAAATAAATTGAATGAAAAGATATTTTTTACCTTAGATTGTAAGGTTGTAAGACTCAACTATAGCGACTTTTTATTCAACTAAAACAACTTTTTACTCATCTAAATTGACTTTTTACTCAACTAAATTGACTTTTTATTCAACTAAATCGACTTTTTACTCAACTGAATTGACTTCTTTACTCAACTAAATTGACTTTTTTACTCAACTAAATCGACTTTTTACTCAACTAAAGTGACTTTTTATTCAACTAAAATGACTTTTTACTCATCTAAATTGACTTTTTACTCAACTAAATTGACTTTTTACTCAACTGAATTGACTTCTTTACTCAACTAAATTGACTTTTTACTTAACTAAATCGACTTTTTTACTCAACTAAATCGACTTTTAGTCAATTAGGAATAGTCAATTAAATCGACTTAAAATTAAAATTAAAAGTCAACTTTTGACTTTTGACTAGTCAACTTTTTTCTTTATAATGAATTAATATTTAGGTTTCTGTATATGATAGACTATAGAGAAAGATTTAAACCAAATGGGTTATTTTAACTTTTAACAAGCTCTGTTGATTGTGAATGGTCAAGAAATGAGTCTTCAACGAAACATAAAATTAGAATATTATATTAGGCAAAATGTGGATTATTGTTTTATTGTTGTTAGTTTGTAACTTTTGTTGTTGTTAATTTTGGTAGCTCATCATTCAAACTTACATAGATTTCATCTATGATAAATTTGAAGTTAAAAAGTCATCTAAAAAAATAATTTCGTTTGGAGGTATGCATGACTTAAATTTGTTGGGGTATGGATTGAAGCAATTAACAACATTTTAAATTATTCTAAATTAATACAGCAAAAACTATTTTATCAATGGACCATGTGTTTCCTTGATTATTTTTTATAAACAATGTACTCAATAAGCTCATAACTTTCTTTTTTTCATGATTGTTTTTCTTCAGTAACTGTATAAACAGAATGTAGAATACTGCATGTATTCTACCATCTGGTGTATTGTATAGATGCATAAAGAATGAGAACCTTTTTGTCTAGCATAAGTTTACTATATTGGCTTCAACTTGTTGTTTGTAAAATCTTATTTTGGACTAGTACTAAACTTTTTAGAATTTTAAAGAAATAACTGTTTAAGTACATTTTTGAAACTAACAAAAAGACAATTATTGAATTAATCATAGCAATAACATTTTCATCCTTGTGATATCTATCTGTGATATCTAACTGTGATATCTAACTTTTTTTTAGCTTTAAGTTTCCTTGCTTTAGTTGATTTTGATATATTAAATACTTAGCTGCTTAAGGGACCTAAGTCAAAATCTGACTTTTCAGTTGTTTGACATGATATTAGTAGCTTTCATTAATTTTGTTTTGCGGAACAAAATCTTTGTATATTGTGGTATCCCAATAAATTTATTTGACATTTATGCAACTTCTATTTCTTTATTCAAAACTGTTTGTTTCTAAAAGTCATTTTTATTATTACAATCTTTTGCTGACCAATCATTTTTTGTACGCTATTTTAAGGCATCAATGACACACCAGATGTTGTTACTAAGCTATTTGGACATGTCTTTTGCTATTGATTTCTCACAAAGTTTTTGGTAAAAGATCACCTAATAAATGTCAGTTGTATTTAAAAATTGTGATTTGAATATAATTGAAGACTTTTTTTACAGAATAGTTAAAATAAATTTTGTCATTTTCTGATGTCAATTAAATAAAATTAGATCTAATAGTTGTACATAAAGATAATAAAATTGTACTTGTCCATATTTAATAAAAGTTGTTCTTTTATCTACTTGAAGAAAAAAAAAGAAAATTAAGACCAGTATAAATATTTAAGAATTTGTTGTGTGGTAGTGGCTAATTGCCTTCTGGTTGGTTATGACCCTTAATTGGTCTTTGAGGCATTTTATTGGCCATGTGGTAAGTTACTGTAGATTTAAATAAGTATTAAAAAAAAAAAAAAAAATCAATACAATATATATATATATATATATATATATATATATATATATATATATATATATATATATATATATATATATATATATATATCAAAATATCGTAAAATGCTAAATTTAGAAATCATGAAATTTTAAATTTTTTAATGACAGTTAATTATTTAGTTTTTTTCAGCTAAACTGTCAAATTTTAACCTAAATTTGTTAAAAATTTTAACCTAAATTTGTATACGCTTATTGTATTTTTGCATGCAGACCAATATTTTTTAGAAAAAGTTGAGTTATTGTGTAAATATGTTATAATGGTTATAATAATAATACTCCGTAATATATTAGTAAAAATGTGCAGATCTAAATCCGCAATAAATAATATATATAATAAAAGATATCTAGAAGTCTTCTTTTTTTCTAGATTAATTTATCAGATGTTCCTGCCACTGGTAAAGATGGTCGTGTTTTAAAAGAGGATGTTCTAAAGTTTATTGAAAAACACAAAAGTATGCTAAATTTATTTAATTATAAAAACCAAAGTTTTAATAAGTTTTTTAAGAATTTAAATTTTTTATTTTTTTAATTTTTTTCATAAAATTTCAGTTATCATTTGTCAAAACATATTGAAATATATTTTTGCCAAATTTTTTAATTTACTCTTTTTATCGCTATGTTGATGGTTATTAAAAATTATTTGTTCTAATGGTTTTTCTACAAGCCTTCCTACTTTTTGTGCAGGTGATTCTTCTACAAACCTTCCTTCTTGTTCATTGCCTTTTTCAACAAATCAAACTGAAGATAAAATTTTGCCACTTAAAGGTCTACAAAAAGTAATGTTCAAAACCATGCAAGCTTCATTGTCTATTCCACATTTTGGTTATTGTGATGAAGTTGATGTAACAGAACTAACACAGTAATATCTTATTCATAAATGTCATAAGTTATTAATGATAAAAACCTCATGTTTCCTAGTTTTTCAATTTAACAAACTTTTTCTTAATTAGTATAAAACTTTTTTTTAACTTTAGATTGCGTAAAGATTTAAAAGAACTATGTAAAGAAAGAGGAGTTAAACTGTCATTTATGCCATTCTTTTTGAAAGCTGCTTCAATGGCTTTATTAAAATATCCTATTCTTAATGCAACATTGGATGCACAACAAACTAATGTGATTTTTAAAGTAATTAAAACTGAATTTATAATTTTTATGTCACTTTAAAAAAAAGAACAATTGAAATTTCTACCATAGGGTATGATATTTGATATACCTTTAGTATATTGATGCAATTATCAACCTTTTAAGTTAGAAAGTCATATCACAAAAAAATCATTTGTCATTCCATTTTTTGCCTTAAAGGTATAATTTTCTACCTTTGAAGTATAATTCTCTATCTTAGAAAGGAAAATTATACCTTACTAAAGGTATATCATATAACTCTTAAACAGTGTATAAACATTTATCTGAAGTTTTGTTTTGTAAACTTTTGTTTTTTTTATTAACCTTTTCATACTAGATTTTTTATAAACTCACCACAAAATGTTTACTTTGTTGTGTATAAACTAAAATGACCCTTATACAGATAAGTCAATCTGTATAAGGCCATTTTAGTTTGTATTTATTCAATTTTTTTGTTTGTTTGATGTTTTATAAACTTTACATACTATAATTTACATTTTTCATTATTTTTATTATTTTTCAGGTGTTCATTTTTTAATTATCTTTTATTTATTAATTTGTATTTTGTTTGTATTTTGTAAACGTTTTTAATATGCAAGAATTAAGAGTGAATAGCAATCAATAAAAACATTAAATTTAGTATTCTATTTTGAACTAGCTTATAACAAATAATTTTATAACTTATTCTAATTTAAGTTCACATTATTAACTTATTAAAAACTTATTTGTTCTAATTTAAATTAGAACAAATAAGTTTTTTAGATTTATTTTTTAATCTTATATAAGTCTTAAATTTGACCATTAAAAGTTTTTGAGCAAATATTTGTGATGTACTAGATACAAATTTCTGTCTGATATACCATATACAAATGTTGTTTAATGTATCAGATACAAGTTTTGTGTGATGTACCAGATACAAATTTTTGTGTGATGTACCAGATACGAATTTCTGTGTAATGCACCAGATACAAATTTTTGTGTAATGTATCAGATACAAATTTCTGTGTGATGCATCAGATATAAATTTTTGTATCTGGTGCATCAAATCATACATTTTCTAGTAAACAAAACTAATGATTTTTTTTTTAAAACTAAAGTTTTTCGATATTTTAAAGTACACTCTACTGCGACTAATTATATATCAGTCAATGTATGTTCACTCCACTGCACCTATAGTTATATCAGTCAATATACATATACTCTTGTTTCTATGGCAATATCAGTCAATGTGTGTTACTGTCACTGTTCTTTTATTTAAAAAAAAACAAACAAAAAGCACCAAAAAAACAACTTCAAGGCTGCAAGCAACCACTATTAGAGTTGGAAGTTACTGGAAGAGAAAAGATGAATTGTGTAGAGCAAGATAACGATTGACAGACGACTAAAAAGATTGCAAATTAAATGAATCAGGAAAGGAAGATGAAGGAAGCAAGTTCCAAAGAACTGATATTTGAGGGAAAAAACTAGATGAATAAGATTTTTGGAGCACTTAGGAACAGTCACAAAAAAAGGATGAGACTAAATTGAATGACTAGTAACATGAGAATAAGTTTTAGTAAATGGTACAAGAGACGCTAGCTCTTTAGAGCAGTGCCCATTATAGTATTTGTAGAAAAGAGAAAGTCAAGCAACATTAGGGCGATGTGATAATGGTTGGAGGTTGGCTGCAAGAGCAGGTAAACTATGTTTACAATGCATTTTTGTACCTTGTCTAAAAGAGAAAGGGCATCATTAGAAGATTCGCCCCAGATATGGTAACAGTATTCCATACAAGGCCGGATTTGAGATTTATAGAAATAAAGAATAGAATCCGGAGTACCAAAGTGTCAAGCGCGATAAAGAGATGCAACCTTAGCAGGTACTAATTTTGCAATGGATTTGGTATACGGTTCCCAAGAAAGATTGGAAGTAAGAGTTAATCCAAAAAGATGAAGGGTAGATGACTGATCGAGTATATTACTGTTCATAAATATAGGAAGACCTAAATAATTGCAATAACGATTGGCTAAAAAAAATTGAGTTTTATCTGAATTAAAGTTCACCAGCAACTGTGAGCCCCATGCTGTAGCGGAAGTGAGATCCTTTTCAAGCTCAAATTCTCCCTCCAAGCAATCAGAGAGTGTTGGTTCTTATCATGACAAGAATAAATGGAAGTATCATCAGCGAACAATGCCACCTTAGATGAGAATATCTGGGAGATCGTTAATGTAAATTAAAAAGAGTATAGGGCCAAGGATTGAACCTTGAGGAACCCCTGAGGTTACAGGATATGAAGAAAAGTGCTGTTCATAGAGGACAACTTTGATACTACGATTGGAAAGGAAGGGTTCAATAATCTTAAAGATGTTACCAGATGCACCGTTAGAAGAAAGCTTATAGAGAAACCAGCATGCCAAACATTATCAAAAGCTTTAGAAATGTCAAGAGCGATGGCCTTAATCTCTCCACCTCTATCTAATGCTCAATAAAACCTATTGGTTATTACTGTTAGCAAATCAGCTATAGAGTGAGAAGATCGAAATTCATATTGATAATCAGAAAGTTATTAGACTCAAGATGAGAGATCAAGTACTTGTTAATTAAAGATTCAAAAACCTTGCTTGTGATAGGAAGAGGATTAATGGGATGGTAGTTGGTAAAGATTGGTAGTTGGTAGTTAGGTAGATTGGTAGATGGTAGACAAGTCAGATCGTTTTCCAGAATTTTCGAAAAGAGGGGTAGCTGATCCCGCTTTCCACCATGCCGGAAAACAAGACTTTAAGCACTTGTTAAATAGTCTTGAAAGTATAGACGACAGCTCTAAAGAACACTTTTGCAAGACTATAACAGGTATGTTATCCGGGCCACAAGCTGTAGAAGAGTCTAAGCAGAAAGTCACTTTAGATACAAAAGCTGGAGTGATACAAATGCCAAGCAATGGATCAACTTGTTTGAAGGTTATATTAGGTAGAACGCGACTAGTGAAATCAAGACATCATATTGATGAAAAGTTCTTAGCAAACAATTCAGCTTTATCTTTAAGTGAGGTGATAAAGTCTGAACCATACAAAAACGATGAAATAACAGATTTGTCCTTACTATTGATACTGTTAAAGATTCTCCAGAAGTCACAAGAGCCTAATTTTTGAGATAAAATACAATATTTTGTGACCGAAGAATAGCAAGGAAGACCATGGAGAAGAGTGAGGCTTGACCTGGAATCGTCAAGAGGGAATTAAAGATTCCATGCCAACTTAAATCCACGAAGTTATGTAAGAAGCACATTTGTCAACAGGAAGACGAAAGATTTCTACCCAAGGGCTATCACAAAGGAAATCACGGAAAGAGTCCAAGTTAGCTATAAGGTAGTTGTAAAAGGTATGATGATAGGGGGATTCAGATTATGAAGAACAATGAGATAATAGTTTTAAAGAGATCAAACTGCGATCAGAAGCACTTAAGGGTGAATTTGGGTGAAACTGAGCACTGACTAGGATCAGAAACAAGACAGGTTGAGTAGAGAAGGTAAATGATTTGGGTTGTTTGGAAAGCAAATTCGAAAGTTGACTATATTTGAGTTAGGGATTGAGAAAGGCAAAAGTTGTGGACCTTAACCCCTGCAGAGTCACTGACACTGCAGAGCCAAGCCATTCAGTGTGATGAGCATTAAAGTTACCAACAAAAAGATACTGGCTGATGGTTAAAGAAAGAGGGCTTGGTCAATTTGATCAGAAATAACATCAAGAAGAGTGCAGTCTTGAGTCGAAGGAGAGCGACATAGAACAAAAACAAAGGCAATAGAGTGAAGTGTTGCTAAGCGAAAGCATATAAAGAATAGTCTGTGGATTCAAACCTTGTTTCCCGACAAATGGGTGAATTCTTATGAATGTAAATGCCCAGGCCAAGCATGTGGCGTTGGAGTCTTTATGAATGAAAGGAAGATCACCATCAACACTGAGATCACAAAATAAGACAGCTGAACTCAAATTAGTCTCACAAAGAGCAAGTAGGTCTGGTGAAAAGCATAGATAGTACTCAATACACTGTTTAATAGTCCAAGCAGTTTCCTTATTACTATTAATTAACCCTAAGCCATAACAAAGGGCTCCAAATGTGGCCTTGACAATTTACACCTAAAGTACGAACAGGTAGACCATCCATGCGCAACATGACACTATTAGTACTCTTTTTTTTTCCTGCTGTTGATGGAATCAGCCTCTCTGAGAGCTACGACAGAATTCGAGAAACCTGACTATCAGCTGGACTCAGAACCATAAAACTGAGTTTTAGAAAACTGAGGAGTTAAAACTGAGGAGATAGTAGAAGGAATTGCCTAGTCGTAAAAACACAAGCAAAACCCATGCATTGAGTCAAGAAGATCCAGTGTTCAACATCCTAAACTGGAAACAATATATTAAAAATACATCTGCCCTAGCCTAATAGATAAAGAAAGGGTGCAAGGCTGGTCAAAAGATAGAATCTGTTTACCCCGCCAGTCTTTCTACAAGACTGTAGTCAGATGCGTTTAACATCTGCCCAAGATGAATATTTTTATCTAGACACCATCTCTATCAATGGTATTTTTTAAAAGAAAATAAAATTTAATGTACTTTTGTAATAATTTAATAATTTTGATATTTTGGCGATATTTTATATTAAACCTTTTTTATACTACTAATGTTGCTTTTGTTTACTATACAAAGATAGGAACAACTAAGTAGGCAAAAAAAAAAGTAGACAAAAAAAAAAAAAAAATTTACTGCTTTTACAATTTACCTGCTTTTGGTAAACTGTTATCATACTTCAGTTGCTGTCATGATGCAGCAGTTCTTGTCGGTGTTATTTAATGTTGGCTTTTAGTAAACTTTAGTTTAATTTAGAAGAAATCACAATAGATTTAAAATATTTAAATTAAAAAGCAAAATATAAAATGCTTCAAGGAGCCAAATTATAAACATTAAAGATAATAAATCAAATTGAGATATAAATTAATTGCATTTATATAGCTAAATATATTGTCTTGGCTTATCGTAAATTGAGGTTGATATGAAATGAAGTTAACTTATACAGGAACTACTAAGCAGCTGAGTACAAATACGTTTCAAACAAAAAAAGTTAATTCACAATCAAACACGTATATAACAAATTAAAAAAAAAAAGTTAATTAATTCACAATCAAACACATTTATAACAATTTAAAAAAATATATAAAAACTTTGATCTTTTATATTGCATTAATGTCATATGACGAAACTAAGATAAAAAATTGTAACAGATAAGTAGACATAAAAATTTGCAAAACCAAGCTGACCAGACCCAGGTCTTGTTAAGTCTCAACACAGACCATTTTTATAATATTTGTTAGCCTCTTTATTTCATTAATTTTTGGCCTTATTATTTTGCTTATTTATTTGGCCTCTTTATTTTGGTAATTATTGGCCTATTTATTTCATAAATTTTTAGTAAATGGTAATTTGCTACCATTTACTAAAAATTCCTTTTGTTATTCGAAATTTAATTTTTCTAAATATTTTGACACTAATAAAGAGGCTCTTCCCCTCTTTTTGATGAAGACCTTTTACCAAAATAATAAAATGTAAAACAATGATTTACATATATAAGAATGTTTTCTTTCTTTCCTCAAAAGTGTTGCAAATGCAAACTAAGCTAACTAATGAGTTAAACACGTAAATAAAACATAAGTAATTTGATTATTTGACAAATGCGTAAAACTACATTATTCTTCATGTTTTTAAAGGTTTGTAGTTACGACCCCTCGTTTACAAAGATCCCCTAAGATATGTACAACAAATTATTAGGCATTAAATATTAAAAAGAAAATGAACTAGTTGCATATATTTATATCTTTTTAACTAACAAAAATTTACAATAAAAGGAAATCAGTTTTTTTTTTAATAAATCTTATAAATGCGTCATAACGTAAATCTAAAATAAAAAAGTAATGGAATTATAATATAAAATTACAAAAAAAAAAAAAAAAAAAGAAAAACACCACACGGGAAGTTAAGCAAAGCTGTCTATCAACACAAAACATCACAACATTAACATTACAACAATAGGACATAACAATAAAATCCAGTGAAAATAACAAACTAAATTAAAATATGAAAGGCAAAATTAAAAAAACCAATTTAGAGCTAACTATATTGTTAGCTGGCAAAGTTATCAAACTTGCTCAACATAATACCAAGTCACACCACTTTGAAAACATGGAAACAACATAATTTAAACATATATACAACTATAAACAAATATGACTTAATATAACACATATAAACATATTTTATAACAATATTTAATGAAATTTTTATCAAAAACTGTGGAAAAAAAAGTATTAGTAATAAATAATTACAAAATGTGCTCTCAACCTATAACAGTAAATTTTCGAAATGAAAATTTAAAGACTATAAATTAAGAACGTTAGAAAGTATAACACTATTTGTGTAACACTTTTTACCTACCATACCTTGAATAGGATGTTTATCAATTTTGAAAAACAAACTATTAAATGCTCTAGTTCTTGAACATGCAACATATAGTTGACTATGAGAGAAACACAGTTTTAGAGATATGTCTTTTGTCTATAAGTTTAATTTTGCGTTATGTAATATATGGACGTTTCCTAAAGTAAAATACTTGTAACTAAAAAGATTTTATTTATTACAATATTTGAACAACCAAGGGACAATTATAGTTAAACAATTTAAGGAATTATATCCTTAATAACAAGCAACTCATGAAATATACCTTATAAATGGTCAATATCAATTGTAGTATTAAAAAATATGCAAGAGCTCAGTAACTACATGAGTTTTATCAATTCTCCCTGAACTCTCATTAAAGTCTCATCTAAGAGAGAGAGAGAGAAGTGTTTCAAAAGCAGCATGTTAAAAAAAGTAAAAAAAGACATGCAATAAATAACAGTAACTGGTTTTATTATGCTACCAATAAACAAAATTATTTTTACCTTAATTAAAAGTTAATTTGCAGCATTGATTAATTAAGATTCAGCTTCTCTCTAACTTTTGACTAATGATCAATATAGTAAATTTCACATCATATTAAATTTACAAAATTAAAACCATGTTTCAACAGTAAGCAAAATAATCAAGTGATGACAAAGGCAACTAAAAAAAAAAAAGAACAAAATTATGTTTGAGAAAAACAAAAAAAAAAAAATCATTTAAGTTTGAAACTGTTATTAATTGTTACTATAAATAGTAAATTTCATACTTTGCTTTATTCTAAAGCATCTATTGTAAAATTAAATTAATAGACATCAAATAGACACTAACACATAATTTTATCAGGCCTAGATCTATCTCTTTCATTTGACAACAATTTTTTTCAAGTCACCTATTACCATTTACACTAAAAACTTCTTTGAGCCTAATATTATACACCTGTTGTCATTAAACATATTACCAGTGATTATACTACTGTTACAAATGAATAAGTGAACATAAAATAATTTTAAGAATTGTGATCTTTTCTAATTAAAGACTAAATTTTAAATTAAGATTTATTGATATTCATAAATTTTTATAAGTTTATATAAAGAAGTTGTTCTTAAAAATACAAAACAAAATTTGTTTACATTATTTTTAATTTAACAAAGAGTTTAGACTACAATACACAAAGTTATTTTTACCTTCAGGCACTATCTTAATGCACAAAAATAATAAATGCAGAACCTTGTATAAAAAAAGAAGCAATGTCAGTCTAAAGTAATATATATGTATGTATGTATGTATATATATTCAAATTTTTTCTATTCTTTTTATTTTTTCTTTGAGATAATATTCGTATAGATACAGAGAAATATAGGCACATTTATGTATATAAACTTACCTGTCAACAAATTACAGTCAGCTTTCCATGTTAAATACATAAAATATATCATATAAATCCAATATAAAATAAAACAAAATGAAGAGCTCATTTTCAAAACGCTGTAAATCCTTTTTTTGGGTTTTGAGTAAATCGAACATTTCTCCTGCATAAAGAAATTAAATATTTTGGAATAAGTTATTATTGATTTAGTTAAACATGTACTTTATTAATAAGACTATAATATATGCTGAAATCAAACTTTATGAAATCGATGAATATTTTCAGTGGTTATTTTTGTTTTGTTTCAAAACGATGTATATCCAAGTTTTATTTATTAGCAAAATGCTTTTTATCCATTTCATTAATAAAATATATTTATTAATGAAACATATTATTTTGTTATGCATTCTAAGATCTACCTTAAAATCTTGTTCTCCTTTGATATAAATCAGCAATTTTTTTTAAACAAATCCCAAGTGCAACTATAAAAATATATGTGTTAATGACTATTGTATTATTGTATTCAATAACATAAATTAAAAAAACAACAAAATAAATCATGTTATGCTGGAGATTTTTTAAAATATTTGTATTTTAACTAAAACATGTTTACAAAATTCACAGCTAAAAAACAATTAAATCAAGTTATGAACTATCTTCTTCACTAAGGTTAGTATCATCTTCAGTGGCATTACATAGTAATGTTTTATACATAGTAAGTATTCTGCCTTCTACTCCTACAAGACTGAGAAGACGAAAAACATTGTCTTTCAGTTTTCAGAAAAACATTGTCAGTTTTTAATTTTTTTTGGTCATCCATAATATTTTGGTTTTTATATGTTTGACATGTAGAGCATGTATCTGTTGCTGGGTATCCAAAAGCTAAAGTGAAATGGTTAAATACCCCATAATAATAATGGTAGCCTAAAGTATAAGTATTGTTTTTATCCAAAAAAAGTTCGCAAATCCGCTTTACATTTAAATCAGAGGGCAATTTTTACGTTCTGGAGCTCCTTTTCTTCCATAATGACTTTCTCTGCAAGTAAAAGACTGAATATGATTTTTAATAGCTTCTTTCTTTTCAGAAAAAGCTACTTTCTTCTTGTCTCCTCCTCTATTTTTAGGTCTGGTTGTTCCATGTTCATACCAGTGTCCTGCAATTCTTAAAACTCTATCAGGTTTTATGGCTGGAATAAATTAATAAAATATTAACTTTTTCTTACTAATTTTTTTTTTAACAAAATAAATTTTTAACATTTTATTTCTAAATTAAAAGTAAAGTAATTTTATACTTACACAATACTGAACAAAATGAAGCTTGGCACATACATATATATATATATATATATATATATATATATATATATATATATATATATATATATATATATATATATATATATATATATATATATATATATATATATATATATATATATATATATATATATATATATATATATATATATATATACAAATAGTATTGTGTACTTTGGTAAGCAATCTGACGTCATACTGAAATAGCCGGCTGCTAGGGGCTTCAGTACATACAACGACTGACAAATAGCCTGACTCGCAGTGGAGTGCTGCTACATCGACTGAGGGTTTGGGATGGGGAAGCAATCGTTTTATTTATCATTCTTCATTTTTTTCTTCTTCTTTTTTGAAAAAAACGGTTTACCTTAAAGTAAGCACAAAAAGTGAGCAAATGCTTATCAAAACACGCTTTAGTAAGTGTATATATATATATATATATATATATATATATATATATATATATATATATATATATATATATATGTATATATGTATATATGTATATATATATATATATATATATATATATACATATATATATATATATATATATATATATATATATATATATATATATATATATATATATATATATATATGTATATATATATATATGTATATATGTATATATATATATACATATATATATATATGTATATATATATATATATATATATATATATATATATATATATATATATATATATATATATATTTGTTCTTAGAAATCTCATAATATTGGTGTTGCTATGGATACTAAAGATGGTCTTCTTGTTCCTAATATCAAAGAAGTACAATTAAAGAGTATTTTTGAGATATGCGAGGAATTGAACAGGCTGCATGAACTAGGAATGAAAGGAAAAATAGGACCAACTGATATGTTGGGAACAACTTTTACAATTTCAAATATTGGTTCTGTAAGTTTCAATTATTTAATTTTAGAAATAAAAATATTTTTGCCATGATATGTTTTTTAGCTTTGTTAAGCAAAAAAGTTTTATAAGAAAAATTGAAATTTTTTTATAAGGAAATCTGACTAGAGTATTGTTAACTATTAAGGGTGATCAAGATCCTTCTGGTACTGGTAACATGTATTCCAGTATATCCTGGTACATAATTCGTAGATAGGTACATAACTTGTAGAGCTTTTTTAGGTAAAGTCTGGGCTAGCTATTTTAGGTAAATTCTGAGATTACCAAACACTGTGATACATCTCAGAGAGGCTGATTCCATTTAAAGCTAAGAGATCAGAGTATTAACAGTGCCATGCTCAGTGTCATGCTGTGTATGGATAGTGTGCTTTTAATGTGCATTGTTAATGCCACATAAAGAGTTCTTTTTTATGATTTCGGATTGATAAATAGCTATGTTGTTGCTGCATAACTTACTTCTATAGGTGCTGTATATTCTTTTGTTTATGTCAAGTTTTCTCTTATAATTTAAACCATCATTACCAAAAGTATTTAACATAAAAACTATTGTTGCCACCAAGTTGTTTCAGTATATTTTTAAAATTATTTGTGTTTTTAATAATAAGAATATTCAGTATTTAAAATACTTAAAAGTCTTATTATTTATCTTAATGAAAGGCTTGCCTCTTGTTCCTTTGATCCTGCTGTCACTAAAGTTCACAACTTTATCTTTTTTCAATATTTTATTTACGTTGTCTGGCGGCTTGTTTTTTTTTACAACTCAAATCAATTATTTTTATGATTAGTGTCTCTCACCCTATTTTTCTCCTCATTCTTCTTTAGATTGTTTATACCATGCTTCTTCAACATTAGATTTAGCCTTATTACAACTACCCTTAAGCTGACAGGGTTTTTTTTTTGTAACTTTTTTTGCGACGGACTGATGTCATTCTTTAGGTTGATATTTTTGTTGAAAAATTGCTGAAAATTATGCCTTTTATGTAACTTCTTAGATTCAGAGTATCCTGGATTCATGTAATCTTTTTCATTGCTTTTCAGTAAAGAATTTTTTAAGCATCACTTTACTCCATGGTTTTCCAAAATTGTTTTTCTTTTTTTTACCAGAACGACTTTCTTGAGAACAAACCTATTTTTTTAATTGCAAGAAAAAGATTTAAAAATTTGTTTAATACTAATTGTTCTAATTATGTTAATGTCCATTATTATCAGATTACTTAATCAGAAGTTAAAGTTTAGAGATATACTTAGGATGCATTATTTCTTCCATACATTGGAAGTTTGCATACTTTGGATGATTGTAGTCTCTTTTGCATCTCTTGCCTGTTTACTAAAGATCCCTAAGGGAGCTCTTTTAATCTCAATGAACTGCTTCATATGGTTACTATAATGGATGCTACTCTAAAGAGCTAATGTCTATTGTGCCATCTACTAATATTCATTCTCGTGTTGTCATTCAATCAAGTCTCTTCCTTTTACTGAGACTGTTTCTAAGTGTTCCAAAAATTCTTATTCATTTGGTTTTTTTTCTTGAACATCAGTTCTTTAAAATTTGCTTCCTATGTCTTCTTTTTTTAACTCAATATAATTTGCAATCTTTCAAGTTGTCTGTTTATTGTTTTCTTGCTTTATAAAAATCATCTTTTCTCTTCCAGTTACTTCCAATTCTAATAGTGGTTGCTTGTAGCCTTTGTTGAAAGTGATGATGTTTAAAAAAAAAAAAAACTGCCAGGTATGAGTTTCTGAAACAATAAATTTTTTTGGCAAAGTCATCCTTCAGAATCATTAAAGCATGCTGTCACCACAGATTGAACTTTCGATGAGCATCATCGAAAGTGATGTGACAGGTGTTTCCTGCAAACTGTTCACCATGATATGGTTTTTGTTGAATATGGAGAGCTCAGTGTCACTTAATACCATTGAGCCAAACTTCTATCAAAGTTTTGTACATGTTGTTGACCACACCAAGAAGAAGATATATAAGTATAAGCTCCAACATGAGTATGATGAGTGAGATGAATATATATGGTATAAACTCCAAGATGTGTTTGATTTAAGACATCAATGCTGCATTACCAAAAGACTTTGCCTTCTTGATATCACCACCAGACTTAGTAAACTCTTGATAACTTGCAACAAGTGAGTCTAGTGTTTTCAAAGCTTCTGACTGTGAGAGATGCTTTGATGAAGAGATGAAGGGTGAGTACTTACACAGCTCTGAAGTTCACAAATGATTCTGGCAAGTTTCATGTCATATGAGACAACAAAGATGACTTTGTTTAAATTAATTAGGGACACGATCTGTTTTGCATTTTTAAAGTTTTTTGGTAGTCCTTCTAAAATAGCCTCAAGTATTTGGCATTTGACACAACTATCTTCGACAATCCTGTGAGTTAAAAGTTGTTTATGTGGTGGTGACCTTGAATCTCAGAGAGAATCCAGCTTAATGATGTAAAGAGAGACTTTCAGAAACCCTATACCACCATCAATTGACTTCTAACTTAGCTAGAAAGTCTCCTAAAGTAAGCTAAAAATCTTAGTGTCACTAATTTTCTTATTGTTTAATGCCAATTTCTTAAAAATGCTCCTGCTTTGTAAAAGCAGGGAATGTTTTAATGTTGCTACAGTAAAACCAGGAATATCACAAATTTTGTTGTTTTGATTAGTAATGGTAAAAAAGCATGGATGGCATGCATCTTGAAGTACAAAAAACCCCAATTAATTGGCAAAAAACAAGATAACAGAAAAAAAGGGAAACTTTCGAGCCATTAATAGGCGAGTCTTGTAACTGTATTAGTTTAAAATGTTTTAAAGTTGTTATTTTGCAAGACAGAATTCTTTAAACTAGTTTAATCAACTTACATGTAAAGATAATGCTAATAGATGCCAACATGCTTGCAATCTATAATAATAATTGATATTGTATCTACATAATTATGGGTTATTGTAGAGTTCATTAGACAGCGTAGTTAATTCATGACATTTGCATTCAAACGATCATTAATTTTTCTAATTCTTAAATCAACCATCAATTATTTGCTAAATTCACTGTTAGTTAAAGAAAGTTAAACATGAATTCTAATATTGCAACAGCACTTAACAGTTTTGCATTTTCTCTGCTAAGATTCTTTATAGATATATATAGATTCTCTATAAATCATTTTCATTATTATCAACATCACAGGTACAACTTGAGTTTTCTTTGTGCAGAAGTTTCATTACATTGCTTTCATTAGCATGGAGTTTAAATCCATTTTGAGCTATTGACTAGCAAATGTATTTATTTCTGGTTATGGCTCTAATCAAAATGCCATTCGTATCCAAATCAGAAAACAATATTTTAAATCTTTTTTTGCGCCAAGAAGTTGCCAACAATTTTTTGTCTCTGCTCACTTGCTCTCTCATCTGTTAATATAATGGATTCTGTTGCCTCATCCTAACAAATGCCATGACTTTTTAAGTGATTTTTTTCAAGTAGTTGTAGAATTTCCTGAGCATTTTATTATTTTGTTACAATGCTGACACTGACCTTCCAACTCTTTTGTAATAGGATTTTTCGGTTTTGTTGAAATGCCATGTTTTAACTGTGATTTACTGAACTTATATAACTTATACAAGGTTTTATTGCTTTTTTGGTTTTAATGTTCAGGAAAAAAGTTTCTGGCATTTGAGCTTCTTAAAAATATGAATATTTCTAATGTCTTTTGTTGCGTACCTTTTGTTATAAATCACTATAAAACCTTAACAACTACCTTAAAGTATTTACTATAAAAAAAATTATAAGTCTAAGAGGAAGTCTCTAAGAGAATCTCTAAGTTACCTCTAAGAGTTAAGTAACCTTTTGCCACAAAGGTGGCAGGATAACATCTTTTCTCTGAAGAGTTGTTTGATATGAATCACAGATGCCTCTTGACACTTTGATATCACTCAAATCAAGATTTGTATGATTTGTTTGAAGATTAGTAAACTTTTAGTAGATTTGTATGATTTGTTTGAAGTAATTTTATCAACTCATTTTGTCAACTCATGAAAGCAATTATTAATTTTATTATTAAATTTGTGTTTTTCACATTATTTGTTTAGCTTTTATTACTTACTGAAACTTATTTAAATGGGTTATTTTTTTCAAAATAGATATACGTTAAATTGTAAATTATGGAATGCTATTTTTTTTTTTTTTTTTAAAATTACAAAACCCTAAAAAATTCTTCATATTATAGATTGGTGGAACTTATGCACATCCTGTTATTTCACCACCTCAAGTTGCAATTGGTGCTTTGGGGAAAATTCAAGTAAGCTATACATTTTGAAAGATTTTTAAAAAGAGTTATATTTCTATTTTGATGTTTTTTGTATGTTATACAGATTCAACTTGTTTCTATGTGCAGCAACCTTGTTTTTCAAGGTTCATGTTTCGGAGTTGGGGAGTTGAGGCAGGTTTTTTTTAATGTTAATTCACCTTCCCAAGGTCTTTAACTGTCTTCTCAGTCGTTGGAAGGTGAATTAAGATTTAAAAAAAAAAGTTAAAATAATTAAATAAATTTTTTTTTGATGCATTTGGGTTTTTGTTATTCGATTTTATATATATATATATATATATATATATATATATATATATATATATATATATATATATATATATATATATATATATATATATATATATATATATATATATTAATTATATATATATATATATATATATATAAATTACACACATAATAATTTATGATATAAAATTATTATGTGTGTAATTTACGTGGTGTAAATTATGGATGACACCTTATAAAAAAAACTTGGGTTTTTGACTCCTCCCCCTGGTCACAACATCATACCTCTTTATTATTAAGTCTTCTAGGGGTTAATGGTTTTATTACAAATAAAATCATTAACCCCTCCCCTCCCTAGAGCGTGGTGTAAATTATGGATGACACCTTATAAAAAAACTTGGGTTTAGATATTTTAAATAAAAAATATTTTTAGGTGTTACTACAGACCCTTAAACAAAAAAAGCCTTACCTAATATTATAGAAAAATAATATTATAATAATAGATCAAAAGTTTTAAATATCATCATTTAATTAAAAAGTTGTTTTAGGATATATTGCATAAAAAATGACAATTTTAGACATAATATGAAAAAAGAGCTTTTTTTACAAGATTTTTTAATAATAATATTTTTTTTCGATGTTTTTTTATAAAACGATTATTATTTTTAAAATTTTTTATCGCTTAAATTGATTTCCACAACATACTTATAAAAAAAATTTCTATAATATTAGAAATCTGTTTAATGTTCAAAGGAATGTAGCAACCCCTAACAATATTTTTGATTAAAAAAATTTAAATCCAGTGTTGTTTTATTATATAAAATACATTAAGGGTGGTGCCAGCAGATATATTTAGAAAATTTTGTTTTTTGAACCACTTTAATATATATAGTCATCTATAAGTACTGTATTCTTCATCAGCAGCATGATTTCCTAGACACATTTTTCATTGACTCAACCAAGGAACACAAATGTTCACCAGGCACAGATGACCACTTGGTTTTCATTTGTTTGAAAAGTTCAATTCTGTTTTTTTTTTGCTTAAGTTCCTCAAACACGCTTTCTTGCAAAATGTTTGATAAATGTTCAATTACACTAACATCTGGACTGTTCGCTGGCCACAAATCTTTTGGAGTCATCATTGGAAAACTTTTTGCACAAAATTGCTGAATATCTTTTGCTGTGTGTGGCACACTATCTTGTTGAAACAAGATGATATCAAAGTAGACTATTAAATTTGTATTATCACCAACCTCATAAAAAAAGCTAAAATCAGAGATTTCAAGAGAGAATCAAAGAGATTTTAAAGAGATTTCAGCATCAACAGTCTACTTATCAAACCTGATTTAACTGAGAATGCTTCATTAACTAAAGTAGTTAAAATGAATTACCTGAAAAGCAGTGCAAGATAAAACACCAATAAAATTACTGATAACTGCTCTAATGTAACTAATAATTAAGTCATTAAACATTGTGCAAATTCAGACTAGAAATAAAATCATCTATTCTTTATAAAACATAAAAAATCAAACATATCTAAGATATATTCAGATAAGCTAGTTGTTGAATTAGAGAATGAAAATACACATAATAATTTTATATCATCGTTTCACAAAAACATGATTTCATTTATTTGTGATCTCAATATATCTTTTAACATTTGAATATTTAATTGCTACCAGCAATAAGAACCTATATATATAAATATATATATATATATATATATATATATATATATATATATATATATATATATATATATATATATATATATATTTACATATATTTATAACGGGTGACAACTGAAAAATGAGACTGGGTTTAAAGACACATATTTTTTTTGAGGTATAAGGTAAAACAAAAAGTGTTTTTAAAATTCTAGTTTTTATCTATAGATAGGTCTAATTGATCAAGTCAGATAATTGATTATATATAATCAAATAAAGTAACTGATTATATATAATCAGTTATTTTCAATTAAACCATGCCTTTATCAATTATTGATTATCTGACTTGTTCAATTAGGCCTGCAACCCTCGTAATTGGGAAAAATGAGGTCTGCAGTTTATTGCCAACCTCAAACTGTTCGAGTTAAACAAAAAAAAAAATGATACAAAGAGGTTATCATAAAACATAAAAATGAGGTAGGTGATTTTTTGCCGATCTCAAACACTTTTAAGTTGGCAATTAGGCTGGCATTGCCAACTTAAAAGTGTTTGAGATCGTAGGTAAACTCCGTACAAGCTCAATATCAATTTTATTAAGGCAATACTTGCATAATTTTTGAAGATTTTCTGCATTCCAATTAAACTGGTAGACCCTTCAAAATACTCCAAAAATTTTCATTTCAGGACATCATTCTGGCAAGTTTGCAGGGTTATCTGCTTACTCAACAAAATTCACGTTTTTCTTGTTTAGGTACATAATTACTTTTTTTACATAGTGAGATGATGCCACATCGGGCAAGAGTACATATGCACCATTTGAATGATACTTATCAATGAATGAATGAGTCTCTTCTTAATGCATTTGTTGAAGTAGATTTCTTGATTTACAGCCTGCCCACAAGGCTAAAAATAGGGCTGAGATATGCCATTTTCAGAAAAAGCAATCCATTGAAGTAATTTTTTTTGAGACTTGTTTTGTTTGGTATATAACTGTAGATGGAGTAGATTTTACATCGCTAGTATAAAAAATATCATTTCCATTGATACTGGAGTGATTTAACTCATTGTCAATGTTTGGTTTACAATTTTTGAATTTCTGATACAATTGACTGTACTTAGTTCTAGCAACTGCTTTTTGCTGGTCAAAATGTTTTAGAATTGTCATTTTTTTTCTTGGAATATTTTTTGTCTTTTTTTTTGTTTTACTAATGTTTTGCTGAGTACAGTTGAACTTTTTTGCTGCCTGTCATTGAGAAACTCTGTCTTTATAGTCAAACATAAGTTTGAGCCTTTTAATGTTTGTCTTTTTTAACCTTTTCTCCACTTCCTTAAACTCTTTGCTAACCTGATTCACTTTCAGCACATGTAACCTTGTAGATAGTACTTTTAGGTATACTCTCAGTTTTAAAGTGGTCATAATTGAACCTTTAATTAACATTTCTGTAATTTAAATAAAATTCATTCACACGTTTTCTAATCTCTTCTTGTCTTGAATTTATTTTTTTATTCATATTTCTATTAAAAAATAATAATAATAAAATATTTAAAAACTGGAATAAAAATACTTTTTAAAACAATTTTTTTTTTTTGTTTAATCTTATACCCTAAAGAAATTATGTGTTTTTAAATCCAGTCTCGTTTTTCAGTTGTCACCCATTAAAATCATAAATAGTAACATTAATATATATATATATATATATATATATATATATATATATATATATATATATATATATATATATATATATATATATATATATATATATATACACATTATTATTTACGGATCTAACCCTATTTGTTAAAAATATTTAATTTTATGATGTTTTGATACCCTCATTTTCAATTATATTAAAAAATCAAATATTTTCAATGTCTAGTTATTTAATAAATTTACAAGTCGTCCGCATATACCCACATATTATAATATGCAACATTTAAGACTTTAAGAAACTTTGGTATATAACTGTAGATGGAGTAGATTTTACATCGCTAGTATAAAAAATATCATTTCCATTGATACTGGAGTGATTTAGCTCATCATCAATGTTTGGTTTACAATTTTTGAATTTCTGATACAATTGACTGTACTTAGTTCTAGCAACTGCTTTTTGCTGGTCAAAATGTTTTAGAATTGTCATTTTTTTTCTTGGAATATTTTTTGTCTTTTTTTTGCCATGACCCTGAAACTATCACTATTGATAGTTTTAGGGTCATGGCATGAATTTGGTTTAATTTGATCGTGCGCGATTACATTTTTGCGATGTTTTTTAAAACTACATGTTACATTTTGAGATTAGTAACTAAAATGTTAAGATTGTATTGGTTTGGTAAGTCGGTAAGTAAGATCCGTTTTTGTATTGAATGTATTTTATTCCCAGACTCCAATCATCACAATTTTTTGTAAAGCATCTTTATTTGACATAAGTATAAATATATAAATGTTTGGAGTTTGCTCCGTGTCTGGAAGTTAGCTATTATAAACATCAAAAAATCCTGGATCCGATCTATTATATATGTAGTTTAGGTTTTTTGGTTTCATTTTTTGAGAGATTTTAAAATAATTTCTAAAACTTTTTATTTCAACTTTTATTTTTAGACTGTACCTCGATATGATTCTAATGGAAATCTTGTAAAAGTGAATATATTTAATGTTAGTTGGTCTGCAGATCATCGCATCATAGATGGTGCAACTATGGCGCGTTTTTCTAATTTATGGAAATCACATCTTGAAAATCCTTTTTCTATGATTCTTGATTTAAAGTAGTTTTTCTATGCTTTATTAACTAAATGTATTTATTATTATTGATACGCATCGTGTAAAATTTTTCTTTAGTCTTTTAATAAAAGACTTAAAAAAAAGTGTTTTTTGTTTAATTAGTTTTTTGTTTTTTTTTGTTTAATTTTTAGAAAACCTACTTGCTAATACTGGTAATTTGTAATAGTAAGCTATTAAAAATTATCAGTAGGTCCTGAAATTACCAATAGGTCTTGAAATTACCGTAGGTGAATTAAAAAGCAAATGAAATAATTGTATAAATAATAAAATAATAATAGACTCGTCAAAAAATCTTTGTTTTGCGTTTGTTTTACTTTTTTGTATATACAGTATCGGACAAAACAAGTTCAACCAAATAATGCTAATTAAGTTTCTTTATATAAAAGTGCTGCATTTTTCAATTAAGAGAAATAACTATGTAACTGTTTAGAGACAACGTTTTTCAAGTTTTATTCATCACAAAGTTCATTATTTGTACACGAAAATTAATAAATTAATCAAAAGTATTAAAAAAGTTGATTTCCTTCTGGACAAAACAAGTGCAACTCCACAAAATGTTGACCAAGCTGTATTTCGCTATCAATATTTCGTGGCAAATCCTTTGTTGTCGATCACAGTTATGCATCTTCGAAGCATAGATTCAATTAGGTGATCAATGAAACTTTGTGGAATCGCTGTCCAGCCTTTTGGATTTGTTCAAACAGTTGATCCTTATAACGATACAGTAATAAGGATCAACTGTTCAAACAGTTTATCCTTATTCACAGGTTCTCGATAGGGTTGAGATCCGGAGATTGCGACGGCCAATCCATCACCGATAGGTGGTTGACTTGAAACTACTGCTTGGCTACTTTTGCAGTGTGTTTCGGATCGTTGTCTTGCTGAAAAACCCATTTTATTGGCATATTCCATTCAGCATGAGGTAACATAACATCTTTCAGGATATTTTTATACATGAAATGGTCCATTATTCCATCGTTTTGATGTATTGTACCTAGACCGTTAGCAGAAAAACACCCCTAAACCATTACATTATCTCCACCATGCTTCACGGTCTTATGGCAGTAACGTATATCGAGGCGTTTTCCGGCCGGTCGACGTACACGGCAAATACCATCGCTCTCAATGATGTTGAACTTCGATTCACCACTGAACAGGACAGTTCGCAATTTTTGCGCATTCCAGTCAATATAAGATGTAGCAAACAGGAGTCTTTTTTTCTGAAATCAGCGGTTTCTTTGCAGGGCGTCAAGAAAACAATCCGGCTTCAACAGCACGTCGTCTGATTGTTCGATCCGATACAGGCATTCACGCTTCACACGATACACGCGATACACTTCTTACATTTAACTTGTGATGATACAATAATGCTCTGTGGAACACAACGTCTTGGTTGGATGTGGACTGTATTGATGTAATAAAACACTTGTTGTATTTCACATCTTGTATTGATGTTCTTCGATAAAACACTTTGATAAAACTCACTTCGATAAACTGTCTTGACAATACTGACTGATTGACTTCCATATAATGACTGAATTACATGTCGGTTTACATATCTCTTATATAGTAAAACGAACCTGCGTGAACCTGTTTTGGAAGATTCTAGATGCTTCTTTTCGATGCTTCAGGAAGCTTCTGGGTGCTTCTGAATGTTTCTGGATACTTCTGGATGCTTTCAGATGCTTCTTCTGGAAACTTCTGGAAGCTTCTGCATGCTTCTGGAAACTTCTGGATACTTCCTTTAATTATCAAAAAACTTCCGTGACGTTGACACGGACTAGACTTAATAAAATGAAACAAACCAAAAAGTTGCACTTGTTTTGTCCGCTGCAAAATGGCACTTGTCAACGAAATTCTGCCTGTGTGCTGTCACCTGTCAGCTGATTGCTCATGTCATGTCATTCTATGACTTTAGACTCCTGAACTGTTTGCTGTGGTAGTATAGTTCGTTTCGTTTTTAAGACATAAAATTAAGATCACTTTTTAGCATTGTTCGATGTTGGTTGCAAATGTTTTGTCCAATACTGTAAACTATGCTGAAAAATTATGGAAACTTTTAAATATAATAGTAAATTGTTCATAATAAACTAAAAAAAATATCAAGGCTTTATATGGTATAGTATAATTGGTATATTAAATGAGATTTTAATCTATTCCTATCACGCTCCATAAGGTTAAAATATTCACATTAAATTTGAGTTTAAAAAAACGTATGCTGAAAACCACCTCAAAACTTTGTTTTATTCAAACAACTTTTTACATCAAATTACAGAAAAAATGGTTGAACCAAAAACAATTTTAAAGGTTGAATTAAAATTTTGTGTGATTTGTAAAAAATGAAAGTTTTTATAAAGGTTTTAAGCTCAGAGTTCTTGTTTCGTTATCATTTCGTTTATAATTTTTATTTCGTTATCTTTTTACATTTCGTTAAATTTTCGTTAACATTTCGTTAATTTTTATATCGTTATCGTTATATTATATTTAAGTTTAAATTAAGAGCCTATAACACTATGTGAAACAATTTTTTATCCTGGTTTCTAACTGTAATATTTCAATTGCTTATGTCTAAAATATGTAAAAAAATGTCTTCATTAAGCACGAACTTTGCTTACACGACAACAGCACGAAGAAAACTCTTTTTTTATGAAAACAGAGCGACTTTTTTTCATTTTCGTCATTACGATCAGGTAAAAACGAGTAGCACCCAAATGTAGTCCCCCGTCAAGTTTTCGTTATACTGTCCTCGGTAACAACGTTCAAAGTTCAATATATTTTGATAAAAACGTTCGTCTTGCACCTCGGAATAAACGCCCATGTTCTCATTGAATTTGTCGAGATCAGGGACTGTCTTTTTCCGGATATTTTACTCAACTTTTAATTTTTCCGGATATCCAAAACGTTTTTCATATATACAAGTTTAGGTTCTATTTTTGCTAGTGCGTTTACATGCATCTTATTTAAAATTATAAATTATGTTTGTAAATACTAACGCAATATTTTTAAAAGTAATGACAAGTTTATTTAGTAGTTTAACATCATCAAAAAGGTATAAAATAAAATATCTACGTTAGGCGTTGAAGCCGTTTTATTCACCATAACATTTACCGAATCCCTTTTTTTTAATTGGTGTAATCACAAAAAATCCGGATATTTTGTGATCAAACCTGGACCCAAAAACTGGATCTGAACCTGGACCCGAAAAGTAACTAAGATTTGCCGAGTCTAAAAAGATCTTGACCCGGACTCGCCGAGTATAAAAAGACCTCAACTCAAGACCTCGAAGAGCTTGCCTCCCAGTGAAAAATAAAACCGCGTCCCACATGGGTTCCGTGTGGGATTCATGGGATTTATATGGGATGGATTTTCCCATGTGGTATCCGTGCCACTTAAAACCCATTTGAGTAAATCCCACATGGGTTACATGCGGTATTTACCCACAAGGGGTTTTCCCATGTGGTATCCGCATGGAATTTTGCCACTTTTTTTTTTTTTTTTTTTTTTTTTTTTAATTTTACATTTGTTGGTCGTATTACAACTATATATTGCCAAAAAAAAAAAAAATAATGATGATAATAATAAACTTTCACAAATATAAAATAAGGTATCTGAAGAACCTTAAATAAGTTCAAACAAGCATTAACAGTATCAAATTTTTACAAATTTCATATATATATAATCCAAATATATATTATATAATCCAAAGAGAGATCACGCGGATCTACTCACCAATATTTTATATAAACGTATACGTTAAGTAAAGAATATAAAATCAACAAAATAAGTAAGAATAAACTTTTTACAAATATAAATAAGAAAAGGCAAAGTTATTAATTTATATTATTAATAATAACATAATACATCTTCTAATGAAAAAATTAGGGTTTTTAATTTACTTTAAAAAAACGAAAAGTAATGGAGAGTTCCAAATCAAAATTGGGCAAAACAATTTTATTCCAAAGGTGTGGTGCCCGATAGGCAATACAAAATTGATTAAAGTTCGTAAATTTAATTTAAATAACTGTGTATAAATGAATAATAAAGTTTGATTAAAATTTTCTTATTGAGGTAGATTCGTGCTTTATATAAAACTCCTATGTTTTTTGAAATTTTAGTGCTTATGTAGTCGATATGATGATTCCAAGTGATGTTTTCATCAAGGTAAACATCTAAAAATTTTGTTACGGAATTCCTTTTTATTTCATTTTGATCAATAAAAGTTTTAGGTAAGTTTAATGGCAAATACCGTTTTTTGGAAAGCGAATGGAATAAGGTCCACTTTGTTTTATTAGAGTTTAGAGTTAACGTATTACATTTAAACCAATTCGATACATGTATAAGCTCTTTGTTCATTGTTTTAAAAAGTTCAAAGATATCACTGTTAGAAAGAAATAAGTTAGTATCATCTGCAAACATAATACTTGTTAGTTTAGAGGCTTTATTTAAATCATTAATATAAACTAGCTGGGGGGACCCGTAAAATACGGGTCTTTACCGAACCGACCATTTTTATACTTATCTATAGCTATCCGGACGTAAACTAAGGGTCTTAGTAAATCTATTCCACACCGACCTTTTCTATACTTATTCCTTACCTCAATATTTTTTTAAAACCGTTTAAAAATGTACATATAAAAAACTATACTTACTTTTTGATATGACAAAAACATTTCTGTTAAAATGTTCTTTTAAAAACTTCAAACGATTTTAATATTATGCCGATTATAAAAATTTTAATAAGAAAAAACGTAAAAAAGACTACGAACTTAGAAAAATGCTAAAACATTCAACACGTGACGCCGTTAAAGTACGCCTTAGTTAACGTTCATAACATATACACATCTAATTAGATTTTATTTAAATTCAGTTGTTGCAAACTTGGTTTTGAATTTTTAATTACACTTCTTATGCGTCATAAATAATCTTAAATTCTAAATAGAAAATACGTTTATGGGCTAATTGGTAGACGCGCAACACTTAGACAGATATAGTCATCTCACCCCGGGAGTTCATACTCCAGTGACCTTTTTTTTTCATCCCAACTTACAA